ATTGGCAATTAATTATTAATGCCAAATAATTAAATATAATATTAAAATATGATCAGAGATTATCTCCATGTTTGTATAAGAAGGGTATTTTCTGCCCTGGCTGGTGTTGCTCAGTGGTTGGAATACAGACCCATACACCGAGGGGTCAAGGGCACGTATCTGGGTTGCAGGTTCAATCCCAGACCCTGGTCAGGGCATGTTCAGGAAGCAACCAACCGATATGTCTTTTTTGCATCGATGTTTTTTATCTCTCTCTCTCCCCTTCACTTCCTCTTTACCAAGCTCTCAAAAAAATCTAAGGAAAAAATATCCTCAGATGAGGATTAACAAAAAAAAAGGAAAGATATTTTCTGAAAGTATAGTATTTTCGTTTTTACTCTTAGAAATAGGTCTTTTAACCCATTATTTTTAAACATCTAATCTTTAGTGATATAATTTTTTTCAAGTGGCTTTTCTGACTAATCTCTTTATCACCTTCAAGTGGAAAAAAATTTAAGAGAAAAATGTAATTCTGGGACTACTCACTTTGAAGAGCACCTACATCTTATGGAATTGGATGTCTCAAAATATATTGTATTCATTCAGGTTTCTATAAATCCTTATTAAGGAAACCAGAGTAAAATGAAATGAAAATGGACTTTCCTCAGTATCCAAATAATAAAAATATAGTAAGGCTTACTGTAGTCTATTCCCCATTGTACTCTCTGGCCATGATAAATGGAACCTGCCTGTCAGCAGGAAAAAGTGGATGCCATTCTTCTAACAGCAGCCTTGGTTGGCACAAAGGAGGCACTGGAGCACAAAGATTGACTCTGTGGGCCCATCTCTCTTAACAATGATCAAAGCACGTGATCAAATAAAAAAGATATTCGTTGCTTAATCAAAAAGCTGAGATACAATAAGCTAAATGTTTTAGATAAATCTGGAGTGACTACTTAGGAAAGAAAAAAAATAGGACAGAAAACCATGAACTTTTTCAATTTCACTCAATACAAAAGCACACACTCTTTTTTTTCCCCCACAGCAGGTTTCACAGTATTCACAATTTCGAGGAAGCAAAAGCAAACCAACATAGAACAACAGAAAAAACCTCTACTTGTGGCTCATCTATATGCATGCTGTCAGTGTACTTATTGATTTGCTGCTTCTAAATGTTTTCTTTTCTTTTTGTTTGATTTTTTTTAATGTCAGATTCCTCAAGGTAGAATACCTTCAAGCATTTTGTTAACTTCCACACTATTGCACTAAGATTGACAGGAGTGATGCTGATGCTCTTGAGCAAGCTTGAAAAGGAAAACTGCTCACACTCAATTAAGAGTACAAAGAAAAAGAGTGTTGAATCTATATTTAATGTGAATGAACTCAGTTATATGAGACAGTAAGTTGACATGTGCCTGCATTCCCATGACACTATGCTGTGGAAATACACGTGAACATTCTGCTGTCAGATTAGAACACCACATTCCCAACTATGCTACATAATAACCAAATATTTTACAACTCTATTTGTACTCGCCTAAATGTTCTACAGACCTCAGTAAAGACATGCGTTCTTAATCAGGCTATCTGGATCCTATTCCTATTTGCTTACTATCTATTAAGATCACAGGTAAATTACTCGGGTTTTCTGTTCCTTAGTATGATTTTGAGTAAAATAGAGGTTATAATAGTTAAATACTAACTTATTTTTTAAAAGGGAATAGAACAAGGAACCAAGATGGCGGTATAGGTAAACGCTTATATTGGCCGCCTCCCACAACCACATCAAAATTACAACTAAAATAGAAAACAACCATCATTCAGAACCGCCTGAACACTAGCTGAATGGAGGTCCTACAACCAGAGAAGTAAAGAAGAAAGCACATTGAGACTGGTAGGAGGCATGGAGGCACAGAACGGGCTGGTCCGGCATCCAAGTGTGTTGTTTTTTTAATCTGGAAGGAGATCGTCCCTGTGGAGGCCACCTGTGAGAAACAAAGGGTCCCAGCCCCACACCAGACCCCCAGCTCAGGTTTCCAGAGCTGAGAAGAGAAGTCCCCATAACTTCTGGCCTTAAAAACCAGAGGGATTGTGGCTCAGTGACACAGAGTCTGCTGGAATCCAAGGTGTCCCTCTTAAAGGGCCAGTGCATAAACTTACACAGTCCAGCTTCTTCCAAGCTCCAGCGCAGGGGACCCAGACACACCCTGGGAGGAACTGGATTGTCTGGCACCGGGGCAGGAACTCAGGGGCAGCTTTATCCCATACGGAGGTGCTTGCAAGGGCCATTGTTCCTGAGCTAGGACCTCCCCTCTCCCAGGGTTGACTGGCAGCCATAACAGCCTGGAACACACTATTTGTTCAGACCTGGGGATTCCCTGAGACCCCACCCCATCTAATTTGCATCCCCGCCAAGCTATTTGTAGCTGCTTTTCCTATGAATGGCTTGTCCTGGCTCAGGCTTCAGACTTTGCTGAAATCTCTCAAACAAGCTGCAGCTGGTGACAGCATGTCCCAAACCTATCAATAAAAGACCCAAGACCCAGCACTAGCACCAGCCTGCCTTGCTTCAGAGCTGGGCCTGGCCTCCTGGACAGCAACTCTCCCACTGTAGTTGCAGCTGGTTATCACAGCCAGTTGGCCTAGAGGTCAACTCCTCCCCAAGATGCCAACAGCAATCCAGGCTCAACAACAGAACTCTGAGCACAGCCACAGGTCACCTACTGCACAGGCCACTCTACCAATTCCAGGAAACATAGTGTTCTACCTAATACATAGAAACAAACACAGGGGAGCAACCAAATTATATAAAAAAAAAAATA